TTGAATACCTTGCGAAAATCCATATATACCACACCCTCTGCTCTACCTTCATCAGTGTGTTTTATCACATCCTCAAAGAATTCAATAAGGCTTGTGAGGCATGACCTGCCCCTCACAAAGCCATGCTGACTATTCCTAATCAAAGTGTGCTTTTCCAAATAATCATAAATACTATCTCTCAGAATCGTCTCCAATAATTTTCCTACCACAGAAGTAAGACTGACTGATCTGTAATTCCCAGGATTATCCTTATTCCCTTTCTTGAACAAGGAAATAATATTTGTCACCCTCCAATCATCTGGTACTACTCCAGTGGACAGTGAGGACACAAAGATCATTGCGAAAGGTGCAGCAATCTCTTCCCTCGCGTCCCATAGTAACCTTGGGTATATCCCATCTGGCCCAGGGGACTTATCTATCTTCATGTTTTTCAAAACTCTGGCGTCATGTCATATTGCTGACCCAACATGATCATATCCTGGTTCATGTTATGGGGAATGGATGCAACTCACCCACTTTGTGGTTGTAAAATACAGGTCTGATATAAATTTGACAATGAAACTTTACTAGTAACTGTTGCTTAACCAGGAATGATGGTAAGTGACCAACTTCTTTATTGTGGTAAGTGAGCAATTATGTTGATTTACCTTGAAGGTAGAAAAGCTGCTTTTTATTGTTGAAATTAGTAAATGTCTTCAGGGATCATGGATTTATAAATGTGGGTGCAAAATACAGGTGAAAAGATGTTAACATTTTCAATGCAGTAAAACATCCCAAGGCACTCCAAAGGACCTGTATTGAACAGGGACAGAAGGAGGTATTGGAACAGGTGATCAAAATCCTCATTCAAGGTAGAGACTTTGAAGGAGTGCCTTAAAGGCAGAGGGATGTGGAGAATTTTAAGGGGCGAATTTTGGAGTTTAGTCTAGATGGCCAAAGGCATGGCAAGCAAAGACAGGCTCAATACATTCAATCAGAATTGAAGGTGTGTAGAATTGAAGGGATATAGGAAAGGAGGACTTTACTGGGCAAGGAAGAAATGAGCCCTGGAATTATTTGAAGAGAAGAATAAAGAATTTAAAATTTGAGGTGTTACAGAATTGGGAACCAATGTAAGTCAGAGTGAGGACTCCACAGGACTTGCTGTGTGCCAAATCTATACAAATCACTGGTTAAGGGACTGTTGGAATATTACGACCAATAGTCATCATCCTGTTTTGAGAAGCATTTAGCAAGATTATTTCAGATATTTAGGGCAGGGCAATGACATAGTGGTAGTCTCACTGGACTAGTAATCCAAACTGATTGTCGCATGACCTGGATTCAAATCCCATCATGGTAGCTGGGGGGATTGAAATTCGAGAAAGAAAGTTGGTTACCATAATGGTGACCTGAAACTATTATCTGCTTGTCATTTAAGCCTCGCCCCCAAGCCTGGTTCACTAATATCCTTTTGGATAGGAGATCTGCTGTCCTGACCTGACCTGTGATATGGCAGCAATGAGGGTGACTCTTAACTGTCCTCAATGGTCTAACAAGTGACTGAGTTCAAGGGTGATTAATGATGGACAACAAATGCTGGCGATGTCAGCAACTGCCATGTCTGATCAATGAAGAAAGGATGCCAGGATTGAAAGCTTTAAGTTCTGAGAAGGGACTGGAGAATTGTTTTACTTGAGCAGAGAGAGTTGAGGTGGACCTGGCAATGGTTTCAAAGTTATGAGATTTTGGTGACGGTGCAGGTCCCTGACTAGAAGGCCTACATTTAAGATCACCAAAAGAATAAAGGGAGAGGTTAAGCAGAATTATTCTTAGTTATTCTATATAAGGATTGTTTGAATATCAAATGACTTACCAGAATCATCAATGGAAGCAAAATGCCGAATAAGGTTTGAAAGGGGATTTACTGAACAGTTGAAAAAAGAAACAAAAATTAAAAAGGATATGGGAAAAGGAACTTGAATGGGACTCAATGAGTACTGATGAATTCTTTTGCATCAAAAATGACATTGGAGGAACGAATCTGCAGGTCCTGCCTTTGGACTGGGGAACCGAACGGGTTAAAAATTACAAGTCCGTATCTAAGATTTTTATGGTCCTTTTGAAGCAGGAAGAAACTCGACAGCAAAGTTTTATTGTGAGTGGACTTTATTGAGACAAAGTTAGGACAAGTTTATTTAGTTCTCAAATAACATACATCAACAAACTTGGGCAGTAATTTGTAGTTTAACCTGGAATAAACCACCAATGTACAAATCTGGATGTCTGAGTGCACAAAATGGTTTCACACAGATTTGGTCTCTTTATACTTGAGCCTCTCTCCCTTTTGCCAATTGTCTTGCTTTGTTCATGTCTCTGGATCATCCTTCCTCCCCTGTGCACAGAAACAAAATGATGATCTCTTTTATTCTAGCTGTTATCCAATTAACCCCACTCTAATCCCAATCACTTTCAGCTCCAATTGTGAGGACACCTCGTTCAATCAGTCAGGAATACTGCATGTGGCTGCTGTTAACTGTATATGTGTACTTAATGTAATGTTCTTTGTATTTAATATTGTATCAATGCTTTTACATGCCATGATTCCTTATCCAGTGGAAAGGGACCTCTACATTCTGTTCTGTCTCACTAGCAGTTTTCCCACAAACAGCTTTCTCAAGGTCTTGGCCTTTTGCTGAGAATTCATTCTTTATAACTTGATATGTACTCCCATAATGCAGTGATTGTAATGAGGTCAGCCAGATGGACCTCATAGAATATGTGTTCACTGATTGGGGCTGCTAATGTGGTCCAATCAAGGAGCCCTGGCTGATAGATATAAACAGGAGTGTCAGACATTCTGTTCACTCTGAGAGCTGGCTCTGAGGGAGCTGGATCAGTGTCAAGGACTTTCCACGTTTAAATAAAGGGTGACTTGGTGATGGGATACTGGCCTCTGAGGGGTTATTTCACCAGAATCCCTGTATCTTGGTGTCTTTTCTATACAATCCCCTACTTCTAAGATTTCCCTACATCTAAGACTTCCCACTTAACTGTACGACAGAGAAGAATATCTAATAAAGACAAGTGTTAGGAAACTATAAACTTTGATGTTAATTTCTAATAATACTATTATATTTTAACAATTAGTATGCTTTCTGGTAACTCAGTCTGTCATGTGGTTCCCGGAGGAAACTACATATGATAAAGTGTAGCTTCCTTTTGGCTGGTCTGATTTTCATTAATGACATGTCCAAAACATGATTTGTGCACATTAGGCACAGTAAGCTAAGTCTAAATTTAGAGTTCTTCAGAGATGGAGAGTACCATTTTGGAGGAACGTGGTACCTGCTTTGATATGGACCTGGGACAACGTTTGGAGAGATCAGGAGCCCTTTAAGAGAGGTCATGTGCCCTTTGGGATTGTTAAACATAGACATGAGTATTCATAGAAAGTGCATAAATGCATTGGATCTGTTGAAGGGAGCTATCAAAACATCTAGATCACCTTCCCTTAAACTATTTGAAAGTCTATTTGCAGTTTTTTTTTCATAAAAGATCAGTGCTTGGTATTTCACTGTGTCAGTTGACATAAGCCTGAGGATTATCATCACAGAATTAACGCTGAATGACTGATTTCATAACCTAACACTGTAGAATACTTGTCAGTTCACATTTTGATTTTAGATGTGATAAAAACTTTGAAGTGGGACTGTCAATACAAGTGCTTGTTCTTTGTGTTCTGATGAAGGGTCACTGGACCCGAAACATTGACTCTTCTTTCTCTCCACAGAGGCTGCCAGAGCAGCTGAGTTTCTCCAGCAATTTGAGTTCTTGTTTGATTTCCAGCATCTGCAGTTCTTGGTTTTATAATTATGCATGTTCTTATAATTGCTTTAAGGAAGATACATGCAATTAATGCCTTTTTAGAATTTAAAGAAATGAATTCATCCATTAACACTGAACATGTGTTTTTAATCTCAGCGTGAGTCCTAAGGTCTGTCCCTGGTGGAAACTGGGTGAATTGACATGGAGGGTGTTGGGGTAAAAGAAAGGTGGATAGCAAGGAAATGAGTTAGAGTCATACAGCCCAGAAACTGGCCAAACAGCCCAACTCGTCCATGCAAAACAGCTTTCCTAAACTGAACTAGTCCCATTTGTCAGTGTTTGGCCCAAATCCCTCTAAACCTTTCCTATCCTTGTATCTATCTAAATGTCTTTTAAATGTTGTAATTGGACCTGCATCTACCACTTCCTCTGGCAGCTCCATACACGCACCACCCTCTGCATGAAAAAGTTGCCCCAAAGGTCATTTTAAATCTCTCCCCTTTCACTCACTAGTTTTGGACACCCTGACTTTGGGGAAAAGACTTGGCTATTCATCTCATCTATGCCCCTCATGATATTAATGAGTTGGATAGATGCTATAAAGGCATATGGGGTAGATAAAGGGACATCGTTTGATATGAGGGGCCATGGGAGATTGGTACTGGCGAATTGATTGGCATGTTGGGTGGAGGTGCACAGATTGGCACGGAGAGTATGGGAAGCTGTAGGGTGGGTGGAAGGGCATGAGGTGGCGTGGACTGAAAAGGAATGTGCATGGACACAGTGTGAGGGGTGAAGACTGGAGGCTGTTTTTTCATTTTGTTCCTTCTCTTACTGGGGCAACACTAAGGCTGGTTTCTTGCTCAGCCCGTGGGCAACCTCCACATTGCACCCGACAGTTCAAACTGTATCCGTGGGTGGTGCCCATGACTACCAGAAAACCTGATGTTACCAGCCTCCCCCCCTTCCACTCCCCTGACGTTCCGGGGCACTTTGAGGCTGAGTTTGTGGAACGAGGAGTTATCCCAGTTTTTTTACTCCTGATCCAAAAAACTTCAGGCCTGTGCCTTGCAGAGAGCTAGCATAGACAAGAAGGGGCAAATGGCTAAATGTGCATTTTGTGGCAGTAAATGTAACACTGTATTTCAAAATGACACGAATGAGATCATTTGGGTTTCCTTTTGTCGTCAAAGGTACAGAGCCGAGTGAAGCGCCAGACTGCGGACAGCTTCACAGAGGAACAGGCTAAAGGTTCCTGGGGTAGATGGGGCCCGTGGTCTTCCTGCACCAGGACGTGTGGCGGAGGAGTAATGCAACAGACACGGCCCTGCCTTCCTCGAATAAAGCAGAGAACTCAGCCGACATTCCAGTTTGCGACAGGCGATCAGTCCCTGCGAGCATTTCACATTCCCCTCGGCCGAGTGCTATCCAGCGTTCGCCAGTCATACCCACTCCATCGGAGCCCAGCCTACAAGCTAACAGGAGCCAGCATTAACCAGATTTATCAGATCTCCAACAGGTAAACCTCAACGCAATCTTCTGTTTACAGCTCCTTATCCATGATCTACTTCAACTTTAAGGGCCATTTGAAATCTGCAGTTAGGCAACAATCTCATATGTTGGGATTTGCGAGAGGCAAACAATAATGATAGTCAAGAGCCAGAGATGTATTTCAACAAGGATCAGATTCCAGGGTCCTTGTGAACTCCCATTCCCATTTCAACTTTCAAAACGCAAGTGCTCAGAAAGACAAATTTTATATTAATTCAGATCTCTTTAAAAGAAAAAGGAAATAGCCCAAGTTGTGAGCTGAAAAGAATTGTTTCAGAATTGCCTCAGTGCCTAGTTTAAGAGCAGATTTCCTGATGTGAGTTTAACACCTAGTCTCGGTTTTCCAGTATTGGTTTCCTCTATAGCAGTTTTGTCAAGTCTGGTATGAGCATTTTAATGATGTTTTAATTATGAGGCATCTGTCTTTTATGCGTGTGTTTTTAACTTTAAGTCAGTTGAGTAACATTATTTTGTAAGGTGCCAGTGTTGTACTTGACAGGGTGTTTTCTGATGTTTACATTAAGCATATAAGCTCAACTACCCACTTAAGGGTTTTATTCGATGTCTGAGTAGCCCACAGCCTTCCTGTGCTGGAGTTAATGAAGCGTGGGGACACAGGGAGGCGGTGGAATTCTTTCTCACCACCCCCCTACCTCAAGAACACACAATCTCCCACTTAATCAAACAGCCTCCTCCACCTCAGAACTCCCCTCTGGTGGGGTGGCGGTTTAGGCATTAAAATTCTGTTTTCAAAGAGACAGTGATAAGTCAAGTTTATGGGCAAAACCAAAGTTAGAGGATGAACTGGAGTGTGCAGATTTGATTCTGTCCCTGTCCTAAAATTGCATATTCTCAGTTCAGTTGCATATAATATTTTGATTTTATGTTGGCCTGGAATTTGCTGTGAGCAGTGAGGGAATGGCCTTCACCCTGCACCTTGCATACATTTGGCTACAGGTTTTTCATGGGTTTGGCAGCCAGGATTTACAGTCAATCCACATCTGTTTGAATGTGGCACCCTCTGCAGGGGATGGCTGGCATTTATTAGCTGTAAAGCAGCAGGGAGGCCTTTAATCCAGTGAGATTTAAGAATCCCCACTGAGCCAGGAAAACTGCAGAGCAGTAAATTTGAAAACAAGAAAAATAAATTACATTTTAGTCATTATACAGGAAGCGAAATAATGATTGGGACATACGCATGGGATTAAGGCAAAGACATAACGCTGAAAAACTGTTCTGAAAAATTAAAGTTTTAAAATCTCTTGCCTCATTAATTTTCTTTGGAGGAATGAGAGTCTACACTTATTAAATCATTCTTTAATGATGAAAAAGGTTCTTCAGCGAGTTATTCAGCATATTGAGCCATTGCAAGATTAGTTGCCCCTACAAGCCTGAACTTTTCATCAATTGTGAATGTGGGACAGTGGGGATAGTGGTATTGTAATAGTGTAATAGGCTAGAAATCAAAAGGCTTGGCATAATGCTTTGGAGACATGAGTTCTACTCCCACCATAGCACTTAAGGGAATTTAAATTCAATTAATTAATCTGGAATAAAATGCTTATTAATGATAATATCATTATAATGATCATGATTATATTGAATTGCCCTAAAAATGTATCTAGTTCATGAAGGAAGGCTATCATTCTTGTCGAGTTTAGCCCACACGTGACATGCTTCTCTCTCTCTTTAAGGATTTCTCCGCTACGCAGAGCTATTCAACTGCTCGTGACTTCGCACTGGGTCCCCAACTATACAGACTCTGTGTAATTCAGTTGCCTTCTGTCTCTTAAATACACAAGTAGGCCATTCAGCCCATCAAGTCTGTTCCCCCATTCAATGAGATCATGGCTGATCTGATAAACTACAACTCCACCTTCCTGCCTTTTTCCTATAACCATTGATTCCCTTACTGATTAAAAACCTGTCTATCTCAGCTTCAAATACACTTAACTACACAGCTTCCATACTGCTCTGTGGTAAAGAATTCCATTGATTCACTACCTTCTGAAGGAAGAAATTCTTCCTTATCTCTGTCCTAACTGGATGACCTGTTACTCTGAGGTCATGCCCTCTGGTCCTAGACACCCCACATTAGAAACAACCTCTCTGTATCTGTCTTGTCAAGTCCCAAACAATCTTGTATATTTCAATAAAGTCACCACATACTCTTCTTAACTCCATGAGTACAGGCCCAACCTACTCAATCGCTGCTCATAAGACAGAACCTCCATACCTAGGATCAGCTGAGCGAACCTTCACAGAATCCCTACAGTGTGGAAACAGGCCCTTTAGCCCAACAAGTCCACACCGACCCTTGGAGCATCCCACCCAGCCCCATCCCTCATCACCTAATCTACACATCCCTGTACACCATGGGCAATTTAGCATGGCTAATCCACCTAGCCTACACATCTTCGGACTGTGGGAGGAAACCGGAGCACCCGGAGGAAACCCACGCAGACACAGGGAGAATGTGCAAACTCCACACAGACAGTCCCCGAGGGTGGAATCACACCCGGGTCCCTGGCACTGTGAGGCAGCAGTGCTAACCACTGAGCCACCATGCTGCCCTAACAGGGCACCTTAGTCCAAACCTTCTTTGGACTACATCCAATGACAGAATATCTTTCTTAAAAGGTGTAAAACTGTTCGCAGTATTCCAGCTATGCTCTGACTAGTGCCTTGTCTGGTTTTAGCAAAGTCTTCCTATTTTTGTGCTCCATCCTTTTTGAAACAAAGGCCAACACTTCATTTGCCTTCCTTATTACCTGCTGAACTTCCCTGTACTCTCCACTTGAAGGGTACATCTCTTTCTATCTCATAACTCATTGCCTTTCAGACTCCAGCCGTAGTGTTTTGACCTCCTGTTTATGACCCCCACACTGCTCTGAGACATGTATTAACAATCTTAGAATAAGCCTCACCTCTATTGCAAGGTTGAGTGAAATAATGCCACCTAACAACCCTCCAAACTGCCTGTTGCCTGAATGTTATTAATCATGGGTGCTGGCTTGCTCAGTACAATGGAAATAGACATAACTAGAGGCTTTCACTTTAAATGGCATAGAAAAGCTAATCAGGTGTATCAAAGTAGTACAGAATAAAGGCATTGTGGGCATACCCACGTACCACATGGAGAGCAGCAGTTCAAAAAAATAGCTTCTGAAGAACAGTAATTACTGACTTTAGCTGCAACACTGACATCTCAAGAATGAATAACATGATTGCCTGAGTTCACAGCTTCGCAATGAGCTGTTTCATTTCATCTGTGAAGGCAACAAGAGTGCACCCTGTGGAGGAACTGAGTAACACAGAAAACAAGGAATGAGTTTCCACCGTTTACTACACACTCTGAGGCCAAAGGTTGCTGTGAGTTTTATGCTGGAGTATTGTCAGCTGTGGTCATTATTACAGGCGCAAAACCTAGGCCAGTATTCTGCAGTAAATATCAAACATCTTTGAAACCAAGAATTTGAATCGGCTGATGTGTAGGGCAGTCTGAGATTCTTTGATGTTTAAAGCCGAGAACCAGCAGAGTCACAAATGGCAGAAGCATGTGGTATTAGTGGTGAACAACTTATATCGAACATTTGAATTACATGAACCTGTAGGAATTTATACGAAGAAAACAACTCGTGTAAACTAATTATCCATATTCTTTTTTATTCGTGTGGTTTGCTAGCTGGACCAGGATTTTATTGCCTATCCTTTGTTGTCCACGAGAAATTTGTAGTGATGTTCTGTCTTGAACCACTGCAATCCATTTGGTGTACGTGCACTCACAATGCTGTTAAGAAAGGAGATCCAGGACACAGTTACACTAATGGTGATAAATTTCCAAGTAAGGATGGTGAGTGGCGTGGAGAGGAATTTGCAGGTGTTACCATGTATTTGCTGCCCTTGCCCTTCCAGGTGGTACCATTGCGAGTTTGCAAGGTGCTGCATAATCAGCCGTGGTGATTTTGTGCCGTGCATCTTGGAGTGAGTGAAGATTTGTGGATGGGGTGGCACGGTGGCTCGGTGGTTAGCACTGCTGCCTCACAGCACCGGGGACCCGGGTTTGATTCCACCCTCGGGCAACTGTCTGAGTGGAGTTTGCATGTTCTCCCCGTGTCTGCATGGGTTTCCTCCAGGTGCTCCAGTTTCCTCCCACAGTCCAAAGATGTGCAGGCTGGGTGGATTGGCCGTACTAAATTGCCCGTAGTGTTCAGGGATGTGTAGATTATGTGGGTTATAGGGGGATGGGTCAGGGTGGGATGCTCTGAGGGTCATTGTGGACTTGTTGGGCTGAAGGGCCTGTTTCCACACTGTAGGGGATTCTATGAATCAAGTGAGCTGGGGCTGACAACAGGAGGAAACATTTTTAATTCATTGTTGATATGTTTCTCCTTCTTCCTTCCTGTGGTGTATTTATATCTCTTTTGATCCAACCAGAAGCTTACTGCAACAAAAAATATGTTAAGGAAACCCTAACAAATAAATTTTAAATTAGCTTTCTAGTCTAGTGATGTATTCTAGCGAATGTGGTGCCTATCAGTTTCTGAAGGCCTATAGTGTACCAGTTGACACATGTCCAGGAACACGCAGATCTGGATGCAGCTTAGACCAACACATGACTCCAAATCTATATTAATGTGGGTAACTGCCCTCTTAGCAAACCATTTGTCTCAAGGATAATTAAGGATGGGCAATAAATGCTGGCCTTGCCAAAGATGCCCACACATCCCATGAAAAAATAAAAAAGATGCCCAGCTGTGAAAATTGCTGGTGCCATTGGGCATGCCCATTGCCCATCTGATTTGCACCGAGTTAAAATGAAAATCACACCCTTGGAAATTTGGGGTGGTATCATCTTGCACAGGGTCTGAATTACTTCAGTGGGATTGTGTTGGGACTGTTAGACAATGTTGGCAAGGTAAGTTTCTTTGGCTGTTGTTTAAATGGAATTGATGCTGTAAACAGCTG